GGTTTGGTAGGGTGATGCAGAGCTCTACACGAGATGCCCCCCTGCTCTCCCCAGGTTCGAGCTGAGCCCCAGGATGCGGGAGGCCTGTCTCATCGTCAAGACCCACCTGGGCCACCCCGGTGCCACCAAGAGCAAAGAGGTGGTGAGTGAGGTGCTGGGGTGGCTCGCCCAGCCCCTGCCAGCATCCCCCCAGGGCTGGCCCTCCCCAGAGAGGGGCCAGCAAAGCCTGGCTCAGCACCTTCCCCCCAAATACAGCCCTTTGCTCCAGGCTTTGTCCCAGATACCCCAAAACCTTTGTGGACTCAGCTAAGGCCGTCCCAACATGGGTTTGGGGGGTTCAGGGTCTGGCCTTCACCCAGCCCCCTCTGGAGCAGGGATTCTGCTCCCCACCAGGCCACCGGTGGGGGGTGGGTGCAGGGTGGCCCATGCAGAGGCTTTGGGGAAGCCCCGGCCCCAGCTCAGCCCCTCTCTGCCCACAGCTGGCCAGCAGCAGCCTGGTCCTGCAGGAGTGGTTCCGTCTGTCCAGCCAGAAGTCGTCCGTCCCCGACACTGTTGCCAACCACCTCCTGGCGTTTGCCGAGGTCTCACCGGCTCTCCTGGCCCACGTGGTGAACCTGGCAGATGGGAACGGCAACACGGCCCTGCACTACAGCGTCTCCCACTCCAACTTCCACATCGTGCGGCTGCTGCTGGACACGGGTCAGTGCCCCCCACCCCCAGGCCACATCCCACGAGGCCTGCCAGGCACAGGGGGAAGGTGCTGGAGCACAGGGGCAGGGAGAACTGCCCAGGCTTGTGCCCGTGCATGAGTAGGGGGGGTGAGAGCCTGGATTTCAAGGGGGGACCCATCAGCAGTTCTGTGCCCACGGGGCTGTGGGATGGCTTACAGCACCCAGGCAGGGCAGGAGCCAGGCACATGGCTTGGTCCATGTCTCCCACCAGCCCTCCAGCATCCTGAGCCCCCTCTGCCCACCCCTGCAGGGATCTGTAACGTGGACCACCAGAACAAGGCCGGGTACACTGCCCTCATGCTGGCGGCGCTGGCGGCTGTCGAGCAGGAGGACGACATGAACGTGGTCCGGAGGCTTTTCAGCATGGGCAACGTCAACGCCAAGGCCAGCCAGGTTGGCACGGGCTGGGGGCCACCACATCCCACCCCTCTGCCCACACCCCCAAGCAGCTGCCAGAGCCACGCTCAGCTCTTCCAAGGGCAGGACCGTGGCTCTAAAACCTGGAGGGGTCAGCACATGGGGAGGGCATCACCTTAGGAGCTCCTCCTGGCTGGCACAGGGCTCTTGGCAGCGGCCCTGCAGGGCAAGAGGCACAAGCGGGTGGCACAGCAGGGGCAGGGGTGGCCTGGCAGTGTCCCTTCCCCGCAGGCTGGCCAGACTGCGCTGATGCTGGCTGTGAGCCACGGCCGGCAGGAGATGGTGGAGGCCCTGCTGGCCTGTGGGGCCGACGTGAACCTGCAGGACGAGGAGGGCTCGACGGCGCTGATGTGCGCCTGCGAGCACGGCCGCGCCGAGACCGTGAAGCTGCTGCTGGCTCAGCCCGCCTGCAACGTCTCCATCGTGGACAGCGTAAGGCTCTGCCACCGGGCCTGGGCAGCCCCACACCATGTCCTCTCCCCACACCCCTTCCCACGTGCTCTCCCTTCCTTTTTAGGATGGTAACAACGCCGTGGCCATCGCGCTGGAGGCCGGTCACAGCGACATCGCCGCGCTCCTCTACGCCCACCTCAACGGCACCAAGGCTCAGCTGCCCGTGAGTACCACACCACTGCCCCTGTCCCACACCACTGCCCCGGCTCCTGCCACGTCCCACACTCAGGTGGGGAGGTCGCCCCAGGGGAGGGGACAGGGACGTGGCACAGGTGAGGGTCTCCAGGAAGGGGCTGCAGGAGCAAACAGAACAGCCCTGCTGGCCCTGACCAGGAGTCACTGGAGGGGTCTGGTGACGTTTTGTGACTGCTCTCTCTGCAGCAGGCGGCATCACCGACAGCCACGAAGAGCCCTGGGAGTCCAAAGAAACCAAATTAGAGTGACCTTGGGATCCAGCCAGCAACCACCATCAGCACTGGGCTGTGATTCATGTCCCCTCACCTGCCACCCCTCTGTGCCAAATCGCCCTCTGCAGCTTTAGTCCTGTCACTAGCGCTGTCCCTGAGCCTCCCTTGCCCGTCTCCACCCACACGTGGCCACCTCGCTGCACCAAGCGACAGGAGCCAAGCATCAAGTGACCTCGGGATGGGACATGCAAGGAGCAGAAGTCACCCCATCCCCTCTGCTCCCTGCCATGACCGGAGCTGCACTGCCTCCGAGCCCTCTGCAAGGAGGGAACAGCAGAGAACAAACCCAGCAGAACCAGCCCCTGGTTTGTGCTCTCTGGCAGCAGTGCTGGTGACACAGAGCCAGGAGGGCAAGTGACAGCTCCTGGCCCTGAGCAGGGTCACAGTGCTGTGCAGGACATTGGGAAGAGGGGACACCAGCTGGTCAACGCTGCCTCGGACGTGGGCTGGGAGCACTTCCAGTCTGACATACTTGCTGCCCTTCTTTTCTGCCATTTCCTTTCCTGGCTGAAATCTGGGTTTTTTTCTTTTTTTCTAGCACATGCACACAAAGCAAAAAAATTATATTGCTTGGCCAAAGGATGGAGTTCCACATGAAATCTTTCGGGATTTGATTTGTTCAATGGGAGCAAAACCTCTGAGCAGTTGGGGCTGCAGCCAAGTGACAGAAGGGGCTTAGGGCCAAGGACATGTTTGGGGACTGAGCCTGCCCAGCTAATACCCCACAAGGGGTCCTTCTCCCCAAGGAAAGAAAGCAATTGCCTCCTAAACATTTCC